TCAGTTCGCACACGCCCCGCGCGAACTCCACCTTGCCGTCGACGACATCAATCGAGTCGTCGCGTCGGAAGTCGAGCGACTCTGAGTTGACGCAGAAGCGCTTGCCGGTGGGCTTGGGGCCGTCCTTGAAGAGATGGCCCAGGTGGGCGCCGCAGCGGGCGCAGCCCACCTCCATCCGCTCCATGTCCGGGTTGGCCACCAGCAGCAGGAGATTGCCGCCGACTGGAGCCAGCCAGAGCACGTGAGATGGGCGACGGTGCCGTGTCACATGGCATCAGGCCTCAGAGGCGATCAGAGCGATACAGCACTGAGGTCGGGAGCGGACATGGCCGAGCACGCCGCACGGGGCCTGTGATCACCGCTACCCACATCGGTGATGAAGACGGATGGTGAAAATCGTTATCATTAAGTCGGCAGTGGAACGTCAGGACGCCAAGCAGGCCCCGGGATGAAGAACTGCGGACCTAACACCAACGCGAAAAGCGATCAGACCAGGTACCGACAAGATGGTACATATCGCAACAACAACGAGCAAGATAGCTAAATCACTCTACCTTCATGAATCTCATGTGCATTTCACCGTCCATTCACTTCCATTCATTGTTGATTTTAGTGACGCACAATATGGAGCCATCCTGAAAAAACGTGCGTAATCTACAGACTGTGGCAGCCAAATCAGTAAACATCATGGTGGCGACCCCTCCCACTGACCATGAGACAAGTCGGCCTTCAGGGTGATCCGGCGCCGGTCCAGCACGTCATAAAAGCTGGGCCAGCCGGAGCCAGAGTCGTACTTGGTGGTGGAGAGAAGAGGTCCTGCCTGCAGACTATGCAGCGGTACACGCCCGGCTCGCGGTGCTTGTTGAACCGACCCGAGAACGCCCTGAGGGGTCAGAACGAACTCAGAACACGCAGCGGTACACCCATCGTTTCGGCGCTGGTTGAGCTAGAACACGTAGCGGTACACCCATCGCTCTCTGCACTGGTCGAGCTAAAACACGCAGCGGCACGCCCATTGTTCTTGGCGTTTCTTGAGCTGAAACATGCAGCGATACAGCCGTCTTTCTCGACGCTGATTGAGCTAGAACACGCAGCGGTACACCCATCGTTCTCGACGCTGATTGAGCTAGAACACGCAGCGGTACACCCATCGTTCTCGACGCCGGGTGAGCTGATCCCAAGGGGTCAGCTGACGGGTAAGGTCAGGCCCAGAGCATTTCGTAACAAGTAGGTCGTCCGTTAACGGAAGTCGGCGTGCTGCGCCGGCAGCCGGTGGTGGCCGACTCTGACAAGAGCGACTGATCATGAGCCGCCAACGTGCTGTGCCGGCAGCCGGTGGTGGCCGACTCTGACAAGAGCGACTGATCATGAGCCGCCAACGTGCTGTGCCGGCAGCCGGTGGTGGCCGACTCTGACAAGAGCGACTGATCATGAGCCGCCAACGTGCTGTGCCGGCCCGGTGGTGGCCGACTGTGCCAAGAGTGACTGATGATGAGCCGCCAACGTGCTGTGTCGGCAGCCGGTGGTGGCCGACTGTGAAAAAGTGACTGATGATGAGCCGCCAACGTGCTACGTCGGCAGCCGGTGGTGGCCGACTGTGACAGAGTGACTGATGATGAGCCGCCAACGTGCTGTATCGGCAGCCGGTGGTGGCCGACTGTGACAAGAGTGACTGATGATGAGCCGCACACATAGTGACTGTGAGCCGGACTCTAACACAGCCCAGTGACGATCCAAGGCCACCGCGGAAGCACAGGTCGAGTGACGATCCAAGGCCACCGCGGAAGCACAGGTCGAGTGACGATCCAAGGCCACCGCGGAACGGGCTCTAACACAGCCCAGTGACGATCCAAGGCCACCGCGGAAGCACAGGTCGAGTGACGATCCAAGGCCACCGCGGAAGCACAGGTCGAGTGACGATCCAAGGCCGCCGCGGAAGCACAGGTCGAGTGGCATTAGCGTCAACAATTTGATCGATTTGTCTGCGCGGATGGCTTTTTGGTTCAGGGTTTTGCTCAACACGGCTTACTGAGAAGACCCTTACGCTACCAACCATGTGGAGTAATCCCATCTGATATGACAATTTTTGACCGGTTATTCTAACGTGCCATTGAACGCCATTGCACCGTCGCCCTGGGTTCATTCTCGCGATTGGCTTCCACTGACCAATCACACAGCCCTCGTTTTTGGGTTGGAAGGACAAATTAAAAAAAGGCTACGAATTTGTAGGATGCGAGGCATCTAGCAAATGAGCTTGGGGGAAGGGAGCATTGAGACCACTCAGGTCCAGTGTTGGGTTTGGTGAGAACGAGGCGTCGAGACACGAGCATAGTTGGCGAGTGAGTGGACAAGTTCTGAGCCCTTAACAAGTTATCGCAGCACCGAAAGCATGCGCAGACGATCCCAGTCTTCCATTCATCTTGTCCAATTTCTTTCCTAACCGTTGTAAAGGTGGCAAATACCGGATTTAGAACAGCGATACCATATCGTGAGGGCAGATTGGCTACAGCGGGGGGTGGGAGAGATTGACACACCACTACGATAGTCACCTGTAAATAAAGCCTTCAGCCGCATGCAACGCCAGCAGGAGGGTACCAGTAGCTCCGTAGTCTCACTAGGTGTCTAAGCGCCACATTCCATGCCCACAGTGTCGCCCTCACCAAGGTGAGACGCAGGCGGCGCGATATAGCTGCCTCAGCTGTTGCGTACGTCGGCCCAGTACCGATGCCAAGCCCCAACAGCCAACCACAGCCAGCCTTGTGGAACACACGCTACACAGACTCTCAACTCGTCAGCACATTTTCGGCCGACAGCAGTAAAAAGCCTGAGGCAGCCTGGGTACACGAACAAGATGCCTTCGTTTAGTTGGTAAGGTTCGGTTGCTAAGCTTGTGTGAAGCTTCGTTTTGATATCGCTATAGCTCCTTTGCCACCCTGATCCCCCACCACACCGTCAGCACCTGCCTTGTCACCCTCACCGAACCGTTGGGTATAACCCAGCCCCCTCCGACAGTCATCGATCTGTATCACCAGTCCAACTCCGAATGTCACGCGCCATGACCCGCGTGATCACCACCACCGGCTGTGGTGGTGGTGATCGCGCGGGTCATGGCGCGCGATCACCACCTCCAGGTGGCGAGTGCGTCTTCTGTGACCACCACCTGATGATTTCTGTCTTCTGTCTCACAGCCCCGCGCCACTGCCCCACGTGATCTAAGGCTGCCCAGTCCCCTGTCTCATAACGTCCATTTGATCTGCGTGATTCCAATGCGTCCATTCTCCTGTCTCACAGTGCCGTGCCTTGATCCGCGTGATCTGAAGCCGCGCAGTCCCCGTCTCACCGTTCGGTCCCCTTATCCCGCGTGATCTGAAGCCGCCCAGTCCCCCGTCTCACCGTTCGGTCCCCTTATCCTGCGTGATCTGAAGCCGTCCAGTCCCCCGTCTCACCGTTCGGTCCCCTTATCCCGCGTGATCTGAAGCCGCCCAGTCCCCCGTCTCACCGTTCGGTCCCCTTATCCTGCGTGATCTGGTGCTGCAGGGGCGTCAGCCTCGTCTTCAGCGTAGCCTGGTCGAAGCAGACCGGTGCCCTGGATGGGCGGCTGCTCGGGCCCTGCCCCGGCCCCCCCCCTGGACGGCGTCCGTTTCATCGCCTGAGAGCGGACGTCAGCGTTACCGGCTGCGAGACGCCGACGAGACGCTGACAGTGCGTGCGGGCGGCGGCGACCCGCGAGAACAGACGGGAACGGGGCGCCCACACCGCGCCCACACGGGTCGGCACAGCCCCCCGCGTTGTCGAATGACTCCAGGAAAGGACGCAGATCATGAGGCGGAAACAGCTTGGTGTTGCATCCAAAGCACACAAAAAAAAAACACACACACACGATGCGGGTGAGCGTCCGCTTTGAGGGACAACAACTGTCCCTGCCTAGCTATCGCTGCGGTGCCGTTGTGCCGCTAGTCCAACACCTCACCGTGCCACGCCCTGTTCCGCGTCACCACCACCACAACCACCACCACCAGCTATCCAGCCTCCCGTGTCATAGCCCCACGCCTCTGCCTCATCTTTTCATTACAAGCAACATGCTGTATTTCCTTTGCAAAACATAACAATAGTTTCATTCGTGGATAGCGCCATTACTCATTGGCCCCGTGCCCCAGCCACTGCGGAGTACGGCGCATGCGCAGAACACTGCCAGTCGCGGTATCGTCATACGGCGCAATAACGTCATATTGGTGATTATTTCAGATAAAATTGTTGAGTTCGCCAGGCCGTTGGTGTTCAATCCACGTATACCTGGACGATGTAATACCCTACGCCCTCGAGTGCTAGTTTGAGCCTCAGTAACCTACACATGTGTGGCCTTCATCACGTCGTGACAGCCCCGGCTTTTCGGACGACCACCACTACAGATCGAAAGCAGCTTCGGTGGCGATTGTCCTGAGCTTTTAATCCCTTCCACTGTAGAATGCAAGGTCGTAAAACATACGAATTCGGCCATACGACGCTAAACACGAGGCAGACAGCAGACGGTAGATCCCAATAAGTTCTAAATCAGTCCATAGGCTCACTTCCGTTACGAAAAGGGAAAACAGCGTCTATCAGCGGAAAGGCGGCGGCAGGACGTGGCGTCTGCACATGACGTCGTCGGTGACATCATTGCGGTGACAAAGACACACACCGGTACATGACCGGACGGAACTAGCAGACATTCTAAATAGAGAAGCCTACTTTCCCACAAATATGCAGCGCGATAAAGGCTGAAATGGACAACACATACGCGTGATTCAAACAATTTTTGCCACGCTCTTCGTCGTGTTTTGCCGCCGACAAATGAAATCAAAGGCCTTACAGACAACGTACCGTAGACAATTCTGCGGTGCAGGGGCATGCTGTGCCACGGATCCTCGTCGTGCCGCTGGGCTTAAGCTCAACAGGTCTCCGTTCACTGCGGCGGTGGCCATCCGAAGGGAGGAGGGTCACGGCCGCACGCCGGCTGCCACTTCGCAAAGACATATACTCTCACACAAGGCCGTGTAAACACAACTTCGCTGCTGTTTACATGGGCTTGGAGGGCTGGGCTATTTTTCCATACGCATATACATACGTCTGGAATATCATACTGAGATATGCGTCGGCAGAACTACGTAAGCGGTGGGAGTTGTCACCTGGTGCACACACGATACCAAATCAGAGTTAGCGGGACGTGCCTAGCACAATTACGAAGCCCGCGGATTTAACAACTTGCCAAATTTGACAGGCCGGACATCACTAAAAATAAACAGGTGACACACGGACCATCATCTGTGTAAAAAGATGCAGCGTGTCCGATTCGGACTGCAAAGACAGTTTTTTTCAAGTTCTACCTCAGGTAGCACATAATTCCTGCCTAGAACGAGAGCTCTCCCCGTGGTCCCTGTGTTAACTTCCGTGAAAATATGTTCTCTTCAACAAGCTATACCAGCCATAACAGTCAAAAACACGTTCCTCAAGATTTACTTCAGTTTTAGTCAACTGCGGTCTAAACGCATGGTCAGTTACACGTCCTTACTCAAATGCATTCACCATCGTCATTACACATCCTTACTCAAATGTCAGTACACAGTCAGTACACATCCTTACTCAAATGTATTCATAGGTCGAATGGGAGCTAAACTTCATTTTATACTTCTATGCCTGTTCATACTCCATTTTGATAAGAAGTGCTGTTTAAAACTTTTTGAATCAGCGGAAACTTGGCATCTTAAGCCTCGGTGCATAAATAGCGCCAAAGTGTCGTCGCTACGCTGACAGCGAATTTGTTGAATCCACTCGAAGTGACAGGTTAATCGCAGCACACTTCCGAGCGCCGCTAAAGTTGAAGGCAAATAACGCTCATTCAGCTGTTGTCAACCTGAAATGCTTGTTTTCAATCTTGCGATTGCTTGAGTGCCTGAAAATCGATTAAAAATGCGAGATGCTAGCGAGATTATGACTTGTCATTGCGAGAGCCAAGGTACCACTTTCTACTGCCATGAATGTAGAATTAAAACTGTCAGAACGTGTTCCCAGCAGGTAATTTTTGTGATGACCTCCACAGGTGGTCATCTCCAAAGTGAGATCATTGTCCATCGCCTTGGCACGCACAAGGGCACAAAGTGAGATCACTGTCCCATCGCCCGTGGAGCGCGCAATGACACATATCCACTGGGTGCGTTTGATCCGAAGAGCCTGGACGATTTTTGTTCTCCGTTAAAGCTGGTTTAGTATCCTGCTCGACTGGCGCGGTGCCTTGAGGTGGCTTAACGCAGCGGGGCCAAATCATCGTTTGGCTTAACAGTGGTAGGCGATGGAGTCCTACTGGGCACGGGGCAGTCTGTTTCAGGCCAATAACAAATACTAAATGCTGGAAAGCGGACTAAACATAGTGGAACCTTATTGTCGTACAGGGTGGGCCGGATATAGTTGCAACACGGGCGAGTTGTCACAGTGTTGTCACTGCAAAACTGCGAACTTTGAGTGTGCAAAAAGCTTGTTCGCACTGTGTTCAATCATTTCCGGAGTGTCCTCGTCCCAGGTTCAAGCCGCTTTCATCCCCAATCGAATTATTGTGGCAAAATTTGTTTTGCAGCGGCCATTGATTTGCCGATGTAAAATAGTTCGTAACTGTGCCATGGCAACTTCAAACCGCTGTAAACTAGTAATAGTTGATACGGATCCTCTCATATATGCTTATCTTTGAATTTAGCTCATCGAATTTCCAGCGGTCATGCCGGACGGGCATTGGTATTTAGTGCAATGGAGTCGGAGCAATTCGATTCGCAAAATTGTTGTGAAAAGGATAGGTTCGGCAAGGAGTGTCTATCACGCTCTGAACATGACGTATGTAACGAAATTACCATTTCCTGTATTCTTTCCAAGATAAAGGCATGCACATTCCTACAATTCGTCAAAAACGCATTTCTAAACTAATATCACACGCTAATAATCTAGCATACACGTTTTGTTTCTTCTGTTACCCCTCGCCCCTGACTCGCCGTTTTCATAGCGTGGACTGATAGGGGGGGGGGGGGGGTGAGATATGACCCCTGCCGTTTCCAAACTAAGAAACGCAAGTCTTAGTGGAAGACACCAGCGGATCGGCTCCACACGATCCTGCGATTAGTAATGAGTTTTATGTTAGAAGATTCAAAAACGATCCCAATATACCCTGTCAAAAGAAAAAGTTTCCTGAAAATAACAACTTTTCAGCTTTACAGCCTCACACACACGACACCGAGGTTTGAAGTGACACTAAACCAAAACAGATGTGTTTCTCTTTTGATTCTGATTACAACAACGTATGGTTTTGTGATTGACCATATACTGATGGTGCATGAGTCCGCTAATATGGCAATATAATTCCACCGCACGTTCCATGACATCTTCGGTCGTTGTCCACCGGTCATGCCGGCCGTGGATCGTCGTGCAGTGACCGCCACCTCAAAAACCGCCAATGCTCCGAAACTAGAATGGTAGGGACACGCTGTATGTGCCAAAACACGCGCAATGAACGTCCGATTGGCCAGTGAAAATTGGGGCGCGTTCACACGACATGCCGGAAGGTATCCTCAAAAAGCCTCAGGGGTTGGATACGACCGCCTCTTATTTGGGCGAGAGTTAGTTATTAGATTTTCAGGGCGCATTAACGGCAATGGTTATTTGAACCAGTGTCTAGATTTTAAAATACCATGCCAAATACTCAGAGTATTGGCAAATAAGCAGCACATTCTTTCTCTCTTGAACATATTTCGTCTACATACCAGAACGGTACCTACGGCGTGAGTAAAACCAAACCGATAATCAGGAAATGTCGGATGCGCCTCCAGAGCTGGTCGGCGATAATAGCAATCTCAAGTCGATGTCCCTTATAAAGGTAATGGCTGCTCGAGGCTCGATCCACGGCGGGTCGCCTGGCAGACAGGCTGAGGCTTGTAATCACTTTAAGATACAGCTTCGCTCAATCTCATGGCTCCGACACTCAACGAACATATGCACCACACACAACGGTGCTCCGCATCTTCGGCAGAGAGGTCATTGCTTCTCCTGCTTTCCAACTTCCTTTGTCTTCTATCAAAATGTTATGACTCCGAACTGACACGAAATAATCCGAATGGCAGGAGAAGCAACGACCTACTGCAAGTTCACAACTGCAATCCTAAATCTTTGAAATCAATAACAAAAAGTATCGTGAGCTTAGTAAACGACCCGAAATTGGCGAAAAGGCTCCCCGGTATCAAGGTATGCGACTACCTTAAAGCGATGATTGCAGTTACACTTTATTATTTCGGACAATCCGGACCTTACTTGTGAACATTAGCCTCGGGTTTGAAGGACCACACATGAGGCCTACACTACACATAAGATTGTGGTCCGTATCCTCCACCTAGAAAGCCTGTCAGAAGATGAATATTGTTTGCTTCCTACATCTATATTGGTGGCCACACATCACGGATTTCAGCCGATACAGTAAATCCCATCCTACAGTCAATCTCAGCAACGCTTTGGAAAGGGACAATTTCGCCTCGACGATTAAATGCAAATTTGACCGATTCCAGAATCGAATCCGA